AAAATGCCGAAAATTTTTTTTTTTTTTACAATTGCTCACTCAATACAAGGCCCAAGAGCCACTCAAGGTAGAGGGTTACTGAATGAGATTGTTGTAAGGAGCTAAGAGAAGGAAGTAAGAAGTGGATTAATGAGGTTATGTAGGATAGGTAATGGTTGACCTTAGACTTGAAGAGGTTATGATTATGGTGATCAGGAAAGCATCCTTTTGGGAGTTTGTTTCACAAAGTGAAATTACTGGGGAAAAAGCTGTCTTAAGTAGATTTGCTGCCTTACTAATGGAATACACATTTTATTAATAGGAAATATTTTCCCAATTTATGACTTTTTGACAGGGATACCATATGGAGAATACAAGTAGCAAATTGGCCTTTATCTGAAAGCCGTGTGTTGAATTTTGTATTGACTTACCATTAGTGGCACCTTAGCCGAGCTGAGGAGCCTGATTGGAAATTGATTTTTTGTTTTTTTTTCTTCATTGGCCCAAGTTCACACTCAAGGTTCTATTAGAAGCTGGTACACATATATTTACATGTTTTTACTTTTCTTCGGAGAAATACATTTTGACACTGTTCTATACTTAACACCTTAGTTAATGCAATTACAGTAAATAAAATAATTCATAATCTAAACAAATTTTTTTTAAGAATTATGAAAATTAGGATCATTGCTTTTCTCTATAAATCTTGCAATGTAATGTTAAGTGCATTCTGTCATATATATGTTTTACAAGACTCTAGAAGCTTACACTTGCATGAGGCACTTTCAGGTTAATAGCTAGATCGGAAGCAATATGTTCAGTTGGATTCAAGCCAACTTTGATCCCAGTAATCCCCCAAATTTTATAAGTAGAAAAATTCAAAATTTAATAATGTCAGGATGTCAAGAGTAACTCTGCTTGCTGGCTATCTCACTCACTCTCTCTCTCAGATTATTTCTACTTGAACAATTTTAATTTAATATCCAGTGAAATGTCTAATAAGAGAGAAAACTTATAGGAATGAAGAGGGGAAAAGAAAACTTTGGAAATAAATGCTGATTTAGTTTTTGATCTTGGAAATTTGAGCAAAGAAACCATCTCCATGTGAAAAGTGTCAGAAAAAATTATCTAGATAAGCTATTTGGAAAAGAAGCCTAAAGACTCGGACACAGGGTAAAATTATATTTGCTATGAAGAATGGGAAAACCTTTCTTTCTGAAGGTGTTTTTTGTTTTGTTTTTTTTTTTTTTAATTATGAGAATGCGCATAATAGAAACTCGGTTCTTTTCAAAATGTGGGAAAACCTTTTTCTAAGACCTCTAGTTTAAAATGCTATAAAGAATTCTCTGAAGATCATGCCACTTTTTATTTCCTTAGAAACAACAATAGATACAAGAGAACCATGTTGGATAGAGCAAGTTTTCCACTACAAAGCACTATTTTCCTTCAGACTTTATCAACATTAGATGTATTTTTGTCAGGAATAAACAAGTCTGTACAGGACTGCCCGGAATGTGGTTTATCATATTGATTACTCTCACCATTACTAAAATGCATTACCCTCCATTTTTAACTATGTTCATATCAACTGTTTGGTCTCTATAAACATTTACCAATTATAATGAAAATTAATGAGTGCAATTTTTTCAACATGGTGGACTTCAATAATACATCCCTGTTTCATACACACTTTCATGTTAGGTATGGTTTTTCCAGATAGCTATCTTAACAAGAAAAATAGTTATGGGTTATTGGTGAGAAGATTAAAACAAACCTCTACTTCTAGACTACAAATATCTACCTCTTATGTTGTGAGCTGACATAATAAAATAGGAGGCATTACTTTGAGTGACCTTATAGATAAGACAATATATTTCATATATAAGACTCTATATTGAAGAGATGTTATGTAGAGTTATATAAATATATGTACTATTTCTTTTTTTACAATCATAACCCAAAGTCTAACAACAATAATTTCCTTGTGAAAATCCAAATCAAAGGTTCCAATGAGAAATTTTTTCCCAGAGAAGGGCAAATGCACATTGCATGGAATATTCCAGAGCATTCTCTAATGTTCAATTGATATTATATGGCACTGAAATTGATTTCCTGATAGGAATTTCCAAGATAAACTTTTCATGTAAGGAAAAAAATATTCTCTCCAATCGCAAAATCTAAACTTCAAAAAGACACAGGTAACCATGAATAATTTCCAATTAGCTGACCTTTCTTTGCTAGAAAAATTTCACCTTTTATAAATTCAATCTTGATGTTTCTATTACAAACATATTTCCTTAAAAAAAGAATAAATTATAAAAGAAACATGGTTGGGAGTTACGTGCTCTTTGGTATAGAGATTTTGACAAACTTGGATCTTTGTATCAACAAAAAAAAAAAAGTGTCAAAAGGATGTTTTTTTTTTTGTTTTTTTTTTACATTGCTACTGCTATTATTTTAACTACCTTCCATCCTTGGCAATACTTTCTGTTTTAAAAAGTAATGATTAGAATACTAATAATACCTAAATATATGATGAAAGTAAATTTATACATTTTTTTTTTTTTTTTTTTAGTTCTTGAGAATTTCCAACAAAAATTTTAAACACCATTAGATTGTTTATTTACAAGAATAATCTTATATTTACAACATTCTAAAAACTAATACAATTAAAACTAATACTATGTAATATTTATGATTTACCAATTTATAAAGAAATAAATGTGAAAACAATTTTTATTCATAAATTTATAAACATTTACTAAATTATAAAAATATGTGAACCAACTATAAAGAAATCCTCATTATTTACCATTTTATAAAGTTTGAATCATTTGGTAATTAGCCAACCATTCCAATAAACAATAAAATTATTTTTGGTGTCAATTCTTAAGAATAAAGAAAATGTATGAATTCACTTTTATTATATGTTTAAGTTTTATTACAATTCTCATCATCTCTTTTTAAAAGAATAAACATTGCTGAGGAGTGAAGGTAGTTAAAATAATAGTGGTGTCAAGGGAAAACTATCCTTTTGACACTTTATTTATTTTATTTTTTTTTGTAGGCACGAATGTCCAAATTTGACAAGATTTTATTACAGAAATATTTTTAACAAATAAAAGTGCTTTATGCAGCCACTACTTTAAAATGTTAGTTTTATCTTGAAAAATATTTCTGAAAATTAATTTCTTATTAGAGAAAGTACTTTTTGACTAGCATTTTATTTTTAGTTGCTTTTTATTGCATTTGTAATAATAGTAGTAATGTTATCTTGATTCTATTTTCATTAGACAAAGAATTGTCAACCAATATTGATCTTTTAATAAAATTTTGACTATTATTTTATCTTTTTTCTTTATTTGATTTTCATTATAACTACTCAGATTATTAATCTGTGGCATCTATGCAGTTTACTCACAGCCGTCGAATAAATGAAATAAAACTAAAATTAAGATGGAAGAAATACTAGTCAGCTATGAATAATGGTTGATAATGATTCATTATCAAGATGATATTGCTAATAGTATTGATGTATATATAATTAATAAAAAATATAGCACTGAACTTTTGTATGATTTCAGTGAACTTAACAGTAATATGTATTCAGTTCTTAAATAACCTCATCAAATTGATGGCTTTCATGTGGATGTCATGCATGCTGCCAAGCTCATTCAGAAATATCTAAACTGTCAGCTCTATACAACTGCTTTCTCAGATCAATGATTAAAAATAGCTTTGAATGAATGAAGCCTGTAGATCATATTGAAGACCATCTTTCTTTGAGCCTCGTGAACTGGAATTGCAGAATAACAAAGAACTTTACCAAATAGCATAATATCACCTGAGGAATTTCAACAACGGCAATAACTAAAATGGATATCACATGTAACTTGAAGAGAAATTATAATCAAGATATTGCCATTCTACACGATTCCAAAGAAAAGGAAGCAAGCAACCTCCCCCCCCCATCAATACTGGAAAGGGGAATAACTGTGTACCTGAGAAATGTATTTCCCTGAAAAATTGTTTTTAAGAAAAATTTTTATAAATTTAAACTGTTCAGTCAATGAATACTGAATGTTTCCTTATAAGGAAACGGCTAATATTACAATTACTTATTACCATGGCAGCAGAGAATAAATTTTGGTGAAAAAAAACAAACTTGCCTGTACAACACGTGAATAAAACATTTAATTCAGAGCAGACTACTACAAATTCTCTAAGGAGACTAAAATGTACCAATTGTATTGGTTAGGTGTACCTTTTGAAGCTAATATTTTGCATATGTCTTCTTGCAGAAAAAATATAAGTAATAAATGATCAATGTTTTGAATTATTAATGATATATTCAATATATCTGTTGTATTTCTGAATGCTTATTCCTGAACATGCTTTTAGTATTTGCTGTTTCAATCAGTATAGGTATATCAATAAGCCTGTAGCCTAGTAATGAAAAATAATTTACTCTATGCAATAATCATCTTCCTTATCAAGGTGCTTAACTCCATGGTGAATATAATTTATATAGATTAAACATTATATAATGAAAATTACAGATAAAAATTCAGTTAATAATTCAGGCTATAGACTTATTGATCCACCTTTTGTATGCATAATCATTAAGGTGTTCCATTTCATATGGAAGCCTAGGGAGCAAGTGAAAGTTTTTATATTCCCTACCTGTGATATCATGAGTTAAAATTATCTAGTACTGGATCATTATAATGTATCAAATCAAAACTATTATAATATTGGTATTAATATATGTACCAATATAATATTGGTAGATCATAATAAACCAAATCAATTTGTTCAAATTTCTATCATGAAACCACTTCTATGTTATTGTGCATTCTGACAAACGTTCAGGGATGTCTAATTAATTATTTGCCCACTTTGTGAGAAACGTATTTGTTGGTAGATTGTTTTGTCTTATGTAAATTTAGGAAATAATGACATGTCTTAAGGAAATCTGATTGCAAGTCTTAAATTTGTGATGCTTTCGTTTCTCTTATCAGGACTTGGAACTGATTGAAATTGAAAAACAAAAACTACGTGAACTTGAGAGGAAGCACTATGAGACAGAGCAGTTGTTAGAAGCATGTCTGGTGGAAGATGAAGATCAGCTGTTGGAGCGCTATCAAAAGGAACAAGAAGTACTCGACAATCAACGCATATACTTTGATAATTTGGAATTCGAGAAACTGGAGGTAAATTTTTTATTTCTTCGTACCTTTACTACTTTTATCAAGGAGAAACCTTAAAGGTATTGCAGTAATGGTTTTTGAGCTCTAAAGGATAAAACCTTTAGAAAGCTGTTTGAAAATATGAATCAGCGAAAACTGATTTAATAAAAAAAAAATTCCAGAGAAGTTAGGTGAGACACATTTTTGTAGTCTTAAATAAAAAAAATAAATAGCTTAATATAGTCTCTGACTTAATTTCTTGGATAAGAATTGATCATTATTTACACTATTTACATATGGACTATTGTCTTCATCTTTGTTGTTATTATCACACTGTTTTGTCCATCGTGCCTTCTGGTCTTCATCAAGTGTATATCAATCCAACTAACCTCCAGGGAATTCCCAACTGAACCGTCCCTCTTGGCTGGGTCTGTAGAATATGCCGACTGCACCTCTGCAGAGGGTTAAGACTCCCCCAATGTGGTGTTCTGGGTATGACGATAAACTGCATCCGCGTCCAAGTGTAAGACAATAAACTACGTCCAACAGCAAGGCCTACGATCAGAAGGCTTTGAGGAGCGTGGAACCACCTCTTAATTGCTGATGTTCCCAGGTCTGCCCTGACCCAGGGTGGTAGCACCTGTTAGGGCCCCAGCTATGGGAAAATAGTTAACCCAGAAACTGAAGTAAAAAGCATTATAAAAGTATAAAAATAAGTTTTAATACCAGAAATACTGAATTTTTGAGGAAAGAAAAATATTACCAGCAATACATTTTTGAAAAATAATATTACTAGCTGTACATATTTGGAAAAAAATATTACCAGCTGTACATTTTTGGAAAAATAATATTACCAGCTGTACATTTTTGAGGAAAAAATATTAACAGAAATAGATTTTTGACAAAACAAAAATATTACCAAAAAAAAAAAAAGTTGTCTGCATTAAATGACCCATTAAGGTTGATATGCTGTAAACCAAACCAAATCCAACTGAACCCTTTATTCAATTTATGGGGTAGACTGATCTCTTTCCACTGCTTATGGAGATATCTCATCTAGTTCTTATTTTTAGTAGTGCTCAGTTATTGCTCACTCTATTTCCACTGTGCCCAAATACACACTGCCCTTACCAGCGATTACTATATCTCACAATTACTGTGTCACCAAATTCATGAACCAACACTTTAATCCACTAGGCTGTTATCTCGTAGGACAATTCTCTGTGGAAAACTTGGAGCCTTAAACCAAACCTGCCTGTTGATGAGTACAGCTGCTTGTCATGCTTGACAATACAGTCTGCCTTTCATCATCCACGTGATTCACATGCTTGAATTCAACCAAATGCACAGTGAAAATATTTTTAAAAAATAAAAATAAAAAGCAAAACTTGAATTTGCTCCACACCAAGCACTATGTTGAATTCACATAAAGTGATTTGTAGGCCTACATTGTTGTCCCCTCCTTCCATTTCACAGAGCCTCAGTTTTTGTTCAGTACACATTGTTTTAGCATTGTTCACTCTATATCTCATTTATTTACTACTTGTACTGTATGCATCCTGTTGTATAAATATATGTAACTGAGGAAATAGTTATTCCCCTTGAATTGTTACTCATCTGCAGTAAAAGTGACATTGTTATATAAATATATGTAGCTCAAGAATAAAAGTTATTCCTCTTGAGCTGTTACTATTGCAAATAAAATGAACACCATCTTGGTTATCAAGCCTAGCAACATGTATGCACATTTTGAGTTGAATAAAGCTTGTTGTAGAAGGCTTTTTTGTTTACCTAGTACATCCTTCTTTTTTTTTCCCAAATTATTGAAAATTTGATTAAAATTGAAGTTGATTTTTGGTGGATAGTGTTTTTGTGAAAGTGTTTTTGTTTAAATATTTTCTAATGTAAGTGATTTCTTTTCTTTACATCAATGATGTATGCAATTTTTACATCATGAATTTCTTTAACCTTTCTTATTAATGATGTTACAAAGATTTTAATGGTAAAATGTATTTTTATACAATTCTTTCCCCCCTGAGTGTCTTTTTTGTTCTTATCTACATAGATGTTGTAAGAGTCTAGATCTGATTTAAAGAATACAGAAGAATGTCTGTAGGTTATATGTAGTTACTATACCATTTTATATAAGGAACTTGTGGATTTGCGAATTTCTGTATTTGATCCTGGAATCTATTTCACCCCTATCCTTAGTTAATGAATCAGAATTATTAAAAGAGGAAACAAATTAAAATATTTTTAACAGATTCTAAGCTGTTTGGTTACTTTTTGAAATAAATCAGGATCAAGTCTCATTAGAATCGTAGAGACACTACATGTACTGCAGTCTTAGCAGCAGTGGTGTGTCTTGGACAAGATAGGTTGTTTTGAATTCAGTTTTCTTTCTTTCTTGACTGGTTGCCAACCAAGGTTATAGGGTACAGTCTGTCTTGCTATTCACCCATAGCTAGAGGGAGAAGAGATGGATTCATACTTTTCCCCAAGGGTATTTACATGCAAGGGAATGTAACGAACTTGACTGGAATTCAAACTCTCTGACTTCTTATTCCAAGCCGCTATCCATTACACCAACATGCATCCATGTTGGAATAAATAGACTGTCAAAATCTTAAGTTTTGAAGTCACACAAAATGTCATATTTTTTTTTTTTTTTTTTTTATTTTATTTTTTTTTTTGAGCTGGAATAAAAAACCTATTTAAATATAAAAAATAATCATTATTATTAGCAATGAAATGACAAAATCTTCGTATGAAACTAATTTTTTTATTCCCTGTTGAAAGAATTTTGAATTCTCGACAAAATATATCTGATGCTCCCCATTTTGTTATTTTGTATACTTTACCACCAAGAAAATGTTTCACTGATGTGATTAAGTGAAAATTTTAATGTATTAATCAACTTGTGTTAAATGGATGTAAATTAAGGAGATTGATCTTTAGCTTTTGGGGATTTTTTTAAGCAGTAAATCCACAAGGGTGTGGAAGAATTAGGAACAGAAACATTAATAATGAGCGGGAAGAGAAAAGAGCAATCAGGAGGACACTATATAGCAATTGACATTGCATTTAAATTTTTGCAGATTAAAGTTGGCTGGAAAGCATGGAGCCAGAAAGGAGTTCCACAGGCAAGAAGTGTGAGAAAAGAAACTGTTAGCATAAAACTTACACTTACATCTAGCCAGCTCAATTTTAGATTGATGAGATCTTGACATCAGTCTAGTACTATACTTAAATTCAAACAGTCTAGGTACCATAGCGAAGAGCTCATCTGAACAATTATCATGAAAGTATTTAAAGAAAATGCAATGAGGTAACCATACAGTAGTGGGAAAGTGACTAGAGCCAAGCCGCCAGATCAGGATTAATAATATTGCTGATTCTTCTTTGGATTTTATGAAGGAGCTCAAGGTCAATAGCAGCAATTCTAAGACTGGATGAATGGTAGACTTATAGATATTAAGATAGATTCTAGAGAGAAAAATTGTCTTGGACAACACAGTGAACCAACTTTCTTAGCAGCTGTCCTAGCAATGGATTCAATATAGTTTTTCCACTTCATGTCAGCTGAGAACGTTAGCTTGAGAAGGTACAACAAGTCACTTTCCTGGAGCTTAACATCAGGTTAGCTAATGGAAGGCAGAGAGGGTTCTCTCAGATAATTAATGGAGAGAAGTTTAGTTTTGGAGGCATTAAAATTAACAAGCCATTTTTTGCCTGAATTAACAATGGACTTAAGATTTGTCAACCTTGCAGGGGATTACTCCATCTAGTTTGCCAGGATGCCCACTACATGCCTTTCTATTCCAAACTTTCAAAAGAAGCAGAATTATCCCTCTCACTGGTATATAATAACAACAACAGTAATTCTCTTCTCCACTGAGGAGACACTCTGGGCAAGGCACATTTTACCCAACAATGTCTCTTCTCTTCTCTTGTCTTGTAACGGCATTCACCCGGGGTGGGTTAAGCCGGCTTCAATTGAATTAACTGCATCACGCATCAAGGCCATCCACCCCCGTCGATCGGCAGCAGAATCGACGGCATGATCAAGCCATTCGCGATTCCAGTGTCGGGTCCCAAAAACGCGAGGACCGAACATGAGTTCCATATCTGCTTTGACCGTTATGAGCCACGTCTTGAGTTGACCACCTTGGTGCTTCCTCCAACTAGTGGGTGCCTTCATTGGAGTTTCATGGGAATTTGGAATTCACAAGCAGTTCCCAAACCCACATGCATAGGACCCAACAATGTGACATATTACACACATACCCACACTCACTACAGTTAAACACATAAATGTCTCTTTCATTCTTTTTTTTTTTTTTTTTTTTTTTTGAGCTATCTGTATACACAGAAATATAACTTTCTTTTTCTCTCCTTTTGTAAGCAATGTTGTTCTTTATATGAAAAATCCTCCATGTGTTGAATTAATTTGGAAATCCTTCACATAAGGAGTGTAAAATAATCAAAGTTCTGCTTCACTTAAATGGCATATGAGAAATAAACTGTCATTTCAATCTGGAAGCCATGTTTTAGATGGTTAGACTGCTTATGCTGGAATCGAGGAAATTAACCATGTGATATACTCTGCTGCTGACATTGTTATTCATCAGCAGCATTGTGTGGATCCTGATGATGACACCATCCATACTTGAAACATGGAAAATCTTTAGATGTGTGTCAAGCATAAACTGAGTTGGCAGTTTCAAACTTCTGAGGTGTTGTTTATGTCAGTGATGCAAAAACATTCCAGTGTTTTCAGCATTTATTGACTCCATAGTCCACCATTACCTGTTCTATTAATGTTTAATTGTAATAAATGTATATACTTTGGTTTTATTGATTTTATACCATCTAGGGAATCACAGTTTATTTTACACCATTTAAGTGAAGGATTACCTTAATTTAATTTGAAAGATGGCAACATTGTCTGTTACAAAGTAACACGTTTCTGCTACAATCTGTTCAGGCCATGTTTTGTGTAAGGTTTTTGATCTTGACCCATTCTTGACATTAAACAATGGTAGTAATTGTTATGCTTTATTCTAAAAGTTACCATATTCCACTGACTGCTAACCAATATTTCATGGTTCAAATGTTGGTGTATTTTTTTTTTTTTTTCTTAAGATTAGATGTATTACTTTCACAATGTGCTATTTTTTATTGTTTCTGTTAATAATAATAATAATAAGGATTATTATTATTATTATCATATTATAATTCTGTTTGTTTCTATGTTAGCATATGCATTACATCCTGTCAATACCTCATAAATAATGGACTATTTCATTTTGATGGAAGAAATATGGAAAAGACATATCAGAGATGCTGTTTAGTGAGAAAATTAAAGAAAAGAGAAAGGGAGGATGGAGGAGGCAATAGCACTCTCATGTTTAACATTTATTTCAGTGAAATAGAAAAATTTGTCAATTTCAAATCTTTTCATTTGTAACCTTACTTTTTTTTGCTCTTGCAATATTTGGTGAAAGTTGTTAAGCTCAAATATTTTATAATTCAATAGAGGCATTTCCATGATTATTTTATAGTCATGCAAATTACTTGGAGCTTAGCTTATTCAATCATTAACTTAAGAATTATGATACATCAGAAAATTAATTAAGAATTATGATTCATCAGAAAATTAAAGTAGCAAAACTCTGAAATTTTCACAGGTACAAGTACGTCATTTTGAGTTGTTCTTGATTATACGTCATTTGTCAAAAAATGTATGGAAAATTAAGAATTAAGCTTAAGTCATTTTATTCGACTTTGCGTCTGTCTGCCACAAATATTGAAGTTGTAATATTACTAGAAAAGCATTAAAAGCACGTAAAATCATGTTACAAATAATAAGAATAAAAGTATATAAAATCATATTAAAATACGTACATTTATAGTAAATGTTAATATACTCATCATAAATCCTAGAGAACAAAATATAAAAACATCTGTGACTCTGTGTTGTCATCTTATTTTGCAGTCTTTAAGGCTATATTGCTGATATATTATTTTATTAAGAATACTGTACATATATATCATAAATACTCTAATATGCAATGGGGAGTGCTTATTTGCAGTTTATAGTGTTGCTATTTCAACTAAGTCATGTTCTCTAGAACCAATTAACAATGTAGGGTGAGGTATACTTGTATTTCTAGCTATTATTATTGACACAAATTTAATGATTGTTGCATTTTTATGGGCCTTTATTGTCTTAAAAATGTGACATTATTTTCTGAAAAATTTCATATGATGTCCACAATGGAAAAATGATTTAATCTTTATCACTCTGCAAGCAACTTTGTTTGTTTAGCAAAATGTTTGCAATGTCACAGCAGGGAACTGCAGGCAATGAGCAATCAGATTTTGATTTTGATGTTATGATATAATGCCTTACTATGGCAACAGAAAATGAACTAGACTGGAATCAACAATAAGTGTACTACAGTTGACAGGCCTTAAAGAAAAGGATGCAGTATAAGAGGAAATAATAAAGATGAATAAAGATAACAGTTAAATTTTATCCTTTTATCACATGTTCTGTAATTTGTTTTTGTACTGTGTCAAGAACATCATAATCCAATATAGTTTGTTTTTTTTTTCCTTCCAAAAGACAACTTGCTTTCTTAAGATCCATATAGGGGTCAGATATAAATGTTGAGAAATGAAAAGTTAAGCCTAGTTTTGGCTAACAGTTTATAAAATATTAGTGATAGTTGATAATAAATGAATTCCTTTTCTTTCATATTTACTCTTTTTAGTCGGAGTCCAAATATGACCAAGAGAAGGCAACAATTAGAGAAAACATCCTTCTCAGCCAAAATGCTTTACTAGACAAATACAGAGCAAGACAGGTAAGTCTAATATTTTTAATTTTTAATTTTGTTTCAGGCCAACTTGATGCAGGATTTCAGATTTTTAAACTGAAAATGAAATTTATAAAATTACATCTTGGAAAGAATCATTAAAATTTTATAGAAGTTCTCTCTAATTCTGGTTCACATTATAAACATCTAAAATTGCATTTTGGATGCTGGTTCAAAGATGTTCATTACTAAAATTTCATCTCAAATGCTGGGTCAAAGATGCTCATTACAAACATCTAAAATTGTATATCAATTGCTGGTTCAAAGAGGCTCATCACAAACATCTAAAATTGTATATCAATTGCTGGTTCAAAGAGGCTCATCACAAACATCTAAAATTGTATATCAATTGCTGGTTCAAAGAGGCTCATTACAAACATCTAAAATTGTATATCAATTGCTGGTTCAAAGAGGCTCATCACAAACATCTAAAATTGTATATCAATTGCTGGTTCAAAGAGGCTCATCACAAACATCTAAAATTGTATATCAATTGCTGGTTCAGAGAGGCTCATTACAAACATCTAAATTTGCATATCAGTTGCTAGTTCAAAGAAGCTCTTTACAGACTCACTTATTGCCAGTCTTAAAAACACCTTAGATACATTGTTATACCTTGGACTACTCTTCATTGCGATATTACTTGACCTCTGACCTATAATACTGACACACATGATGCTGTGTAATTTTCAGTTATTCTTCTTTTTTTTCTTATAGTCTCTAACAAATACAATATTTCCAACCTAAAGTGAAGGATTTTTCTTATGCAATCATCTTTATAATTAGTAAATTTGCAATGCTATAATTCTGTATCTCACTTAGTGATTTTTTATGTATGTTGCAACAGTATTACGTAGTCTGAAAGAAGAACGTTAAATAATTGGGATACTATTCTTTCACTAATTTTACTGTTATAGATACTAAAAGGAAATTAAAAAAAAATTACTATTGAAAAATGTTTGTTGCATCACTCAGTGAGGGCTACTGGCATCATGTAAATCAATACTGCCTGCTGCATGATCAAGTCACCTGAAACAAAACAAGTTCCCCCACCAGGCTTTTCTGATTAAGAAGGTGGCTTGACACACAGTGGGATTAAAAAGACCTGTCAAAGAGCAGATGACCCTTCTTGTAGAGTCAACAGCCAGTGGGACAGACTGAGCTCGATAGCTATGGGTGCAGCCAGTGTGGTGATGACAAATTATTGCTGGGTGGTGAGCTTTGAGTGAAAATAGCTAAGGTGAAAGGTTTCCATGATATAATCAATGGCTACATGTCTGTGACCAAGTTGAGCCTTCAGATAGGGAGGATATTTTGGTGGTTTGACCTGGTGAGGGATGGACACTATCAGGTCTACTTGCCCAAGAATGAGTACCACTTGGGCTTTCAACCCAGATATGTGGAGGAAACTGGTCAGGTACTCAGCTGTGCAGTGACCCTATGACCACACCCAGTTATGCGACTGATAATTATTGGAGAGTTAAGTTACATTGATTACCACAACATTGAGACCAAGTCATTATCGAGAATGACTGACAAACTCAATAATTCAGTGTACTGAAGCATGGCTGTTAAGAGGATTGTTAACAAGTCTGTGTATTAAATGGATAGAAATGTCAGGAACATATTTGGAAAGCATCCAAAGTGCAACATTATTGGCTATAAGGAATTAACAGCTCTGGGAGCAATAGTTGATGATGTGGATATAACATCAGACGAATAATTAATAGTTGGATTTATGTTGTCAACAGCAGGAAAATTACTCAACCATAGGCAAGCAAGATTCAGTGATAAGTTATTTTGTTAGTTGATTAACTTAATGACATATCAACAATTGTTGGGTTATTGAATTTTTTTTTTTTTAACTAATGTACACCCAATATAAGGCCCAAGAGGCATTCAAGGTAGAGGATTACTGAATGAGATGTGTCATGAATACAAGAGGAGTAATTGAACAGCATGAATATACAGCAGATAGACAATGATTGACATAAGACTTGAAGAGGTTAAGATTGTCATGTTTGGGGGAAGCATCAACGCAGCAGTCTGTTCCACAAAGTAGTGATTCTTGGGAAGAAGCTTTCAGAGTGGATCTCCTCCTCCTCATTTATGGATTAAATAGTATGACTTGTATCTGAAAAAATCATTGTTATTCTCAAAAAATTGTTAGTACAATATTCGCTTGCAAAAAAAAAAAAAAATTCTTAGAATCTAAAAACGTCCTGGGTATGACGATAAACTACATCCATGTCCAGGGTAAGGCAATAAACTATGTCCAACAGCAAGGCCTCCTATCAAGAGGTTTTGAGGAGTGTGGAACCACTTCTTAATTGCTGATGTTCCCAGGTCCACCTTGACCTGGGGTGATAGCACCTGTTAGGTTCCCAGCCATGGGCAAACTGGGGTCAAAACACTATGAAAGTGTAAAAATAGGTTTTAATACCAGAAATACTTTGAAAAAAAATTATTACCAGCAATACATTTTTGGAAAAAAAATAAAAAAGATATTACAAGCAATACATTTTTGGAAAAAAAATAAAAAAGATATTACAAGCAATACATTTTTGGAAAAAAAATAAAAAAGATATTACAAGCAATACATTTTTGGAAAAAAAATAAAAAAGATATTACAAGCAATACATTTTTGGAAAAAAAATAAAAAAGATATTACAAGCAATACATTTTTGGAAAAAAAATAAAAAAAGATATTACAAGCAATACATTTTGGAAAAAAATAAAAAAGATATTACAAGCAATACATTTTTGGAAAAAAAATAAAAAAGATATTACAAGCAATACATTTTTGGAAAAAAAAAGAAGATATCACGAGCAATACATTTTTGAAAAAAAAAAATATTACCAGCAATAAAAATTTTGTCAGCATTAAATATCCCATTGTGGTTGATATGCCGTAAAACAAACCAAACCTAAACCTACAATCTAAAATATGAATTGGAATTAAATATGGATTAAAATCTGATGGGATGACAGAATAAGGAGCCAATAGGAAACGTTTGTAAATTTAACATGTTTCATTTTTATTTAAGCTTCATCATAAATTTTGGAAAATGAGTTATGGAAGAAAAAGATCCAATATTTAGAGTTCTATGTTGATTATTTTTCATTGATCTGGTAGATCTCACATGTTTTGGTCTTGTGGTTGGTTGATTTTGTTTAGTGATATATCAACCTATATGAGTTATTTAATGTGGAAATCTAGATAATTTGAATGCAATATTGTATGTCTTCAATTACAAATGTATTGTTGGCCATTTTGCTTTAAAAACATATTGGACATTTTTTTTTATATAAAAATGTATTGCTGGTATTTTTACCATAAAAATGTATTTTTATACTTTCATAATGTTTGTGGGTTCAGTATTTGCTCATAGCTGGGATCCTAACAGGTGTTATCATTCCAGGTTAGAGTGGACCTGGTAACAACAAATTAAAAGGTGGTTCCATACTCCTCAAAACCTCCAAACCTTGCTGTTGGATGTCGTTTGTCTTGTGGTATGATTGTGTGTGTAATTAGTGCTCCATCCTTGTTTATGATGAATTAGTCATGATTAATGAAGATTTCTGGTTGCAATAAGGTTAGGTTTCTCTTCTAAATATTACATTCTAAATAGTTACCATAAATTTGGTACTTCTTTTTGGTCTCTGATGAATTAGTCATGATTACTGAGGATTTCAGGCTGCAATAAGGCTGAGTTCTATGTTGATTGTTTTTCATTGATCTGCTAGATCTTACATGATTTGGTCTTGTGGTGTTAATGTGCATTTTGTTTATGTATGTGTGCACTTGTCTGAATTCTAGTGTTCATTTTTTGTGTGTCAGGTAGTGTCCATCTCTTTAATTTCTGTATATGATAGAGGTAGAAAGGTGGGGAAAGGATGTGCATCTATCAAATTTGGGAGTTGGTGTCGCTACATGTGTTGATTGTTTGTTAGATGTACATTATTAGTATTCAGTTTTGTTTTGTTTAGTTTGGTTTGTTTAATGGCATTTCAATTCCTTATGGGTCATTTAATGCCAAAGTTTAATTTTCTTGGAAGCTTTGGTAATATTTTTCCAAAAATATATTGCTGGTTATTTCTTTTAAACTATGAAAATGTATTGTTGGTATTTTTACTATAAAAATCTATTTTTATATTTTCATAATGTTTTGACCCCATTTTGAGGATTCGCTATTTGCCCATAGCTGAGACCCTAACAGGTGCTACCACCCCAGATCAGTGTGAACCTGGGAACAAAAGAAATTAAGAGGTGATTCTATACTCCTCAAAATCTCCTGATTAGAGTTCTTACTGCTAGATATAGTTTATTGTCATACTCAGGATACATTAGTGCCAGACAAAATCTTGAAAGTTCAGGGAAAAATCATGTGTGTCAGGAAATTTGAAGGTGTGTGTCTGTGGATGTGTGTATTATTTTAATTCTATTATAGATATTATTTCCATGTATATAAATTTTAATATAAAAATGTACACTACTGATTATATTCCTATGAAGATATGTGAACATACAGGTATATATATGTGTATATATAGTTAGACGGATAGATATAGGGATACATTGTCTATTTGTTTAAATAATTATATAGAAATGTAAGGTTTTAGGTATATATGTTTATGTGCATGTATGCGTATGTCTGTATGCATATATGTGGGAAAGTGTGTGTGTGTGTATATATATATATATATATATATATATATATATATATATAAAGGACTGGATGCTGATGGATGTATGTGTGTATATATGCATGCATGTATGTGTGTGTATGTATTTTTTTGTATATTTTTATATTTTTGGTTTTTATATATATATATATATGTGTGTGTGTATATGTGTGTGTGTATATATATATATATATGTGTATATATGTAAGGGTGTGTGTGCATACACACATATACATGCATGTGTGTGTGTATGTATATATATGTGTGTATATATATATATGTATGAGCATGTGTGCATGTGTATGCGTATATATGTATGTGAAAAGTGTGTGTATATGGATATAAATGAATATGTGTATGTGTGGAGATGTGAATATTTTTATATGTGTGTACTAGTACATGAGTGTGTGTATGTGGGTACATGCCTATGTGTATGTATATACATGTATATGTTGTGTGTATTCGTATGTGTTTTTGAATATAGAAATATAGGTCCTTGCTGGATTAGATAATCGTTATATTTATTTTTTATATGTTTATATTTCATTTGTAACCTGTAGTCGATATTAATTTTGTCAAATTTTCTTAATTACAAAGCAGCCCTTTAAGTAAATGCAATTTTACTTTCCTTCTTCCCATCTCTCCCCCACCTCTTCTTTCCCTCCCTCTTATTCTAACATTAAATTGTCTATGGTGTGTGTATGTCACCACGAAATGTATCCCTATGCATTAGACATCCGTAACATTCATTCTTTTCTCTTATTTAAACCCCTTCCTCCCATCTCTCCTAAAATCCTCTCTATTAAGGTTCAATCTCCCTCCTCCTCATACTTACACTTTCTCTAAATTCTGTTTTTATTTCCGGAATTCGTTTTTTTTCTGTTTTCTTTTTGAATTTGTAGGTCTGATGAATTGGATCGTATTTACGATTCCAATGGAATAAATTATGACCATGGAATATTAGTGTTTAAGCTTTTTTTATTATATATATATATATATATATATATATATATATATATTAAAATAAAGAGAAAGAACAGTAAGATTTATAATCTGGTGTTCTTACTGATTATTTTTATTTTTAAACAAATAAAATTTTCTTATGTTCTTTGGTTTGTGATGAATTAGTCACGATTAATGAAGATTTCTGGTTGCAATAAGGTTAGGTTTCAGTGATATTATACACTATAACTTCTCTTCAAAATATTACATTCTAAATGATTTACCATAAATTTGGTACTTCTTTTTGGTTTGTGATGAATTAGTCAAATATGCTATTCAGTGGTTAAAATTTGTGATAGTGAGGAGGGCTATGAAATGCAAAGGAAAAAAAAAATCCATTTAAATCCTTCAAAAAGTGGGGAAGGATATCTAATGCATTGGAGAAGCAAAATACAGTAATTTGGTGGACAACTCAGAAACCTCAGTGCTCTAAATAATTATTAGCCTTGTGTCAGACAAAACAAAGTTTAGAAAATAAAGTAATAAGGACAGTATATGTTTATAGTTAAATTATATGGAAAGCTTTGGTTCTCATCTGCCCAAAGTAGTGTTGAAACTGATCAGTACTTAGATGAGTAACTGCTTAGAAACAGAAAGCAATTTATGGCCTTGTGCCCAAGCAAAGTTTAATGAATAGAAAATATAAGCAAAATTTACGCTGAGTTAAATTATACTGAAAGCACTGGTTTTTATCTGACCAATAAAGCCTGGTCAGTCGTAATGTGAGTTACCACATAGAAACATCAAATACTGTAACATTTTGTGGCCTTGTTCCAGATAAAGTCAAGCTTAGTTAGCAAAGATTTTAAATTTATAACAATATTCAATTTAACCAGTCTTTTTGAAATTTTCTTCATTTTAATCAAATTTATTCATTTTTTTTTCTTTTTTCAAGATAAAAATTTAATTTTCTTTTGTTTAACTTTTTGTCTGCAACTCTTCACTTTTTCTTTTATCAAAATGACGTTTCTGTTGTATTGATGGCTGTTGATGTGAGAAAAATGTCTTCTTTGTAGAGTCGACTTCATCAGATTGACAAACAAAGAGAAATGCTTCAAGAAGTGAAGGTCAATGTTGAAACACTTGAAAAAAACAGACAGAAATTAGTGGAAGAATTCCGAAAGGTGAGTTGTTTCTCGTTTTCTTTTTTTTTTTCCTTTTCTTTTTTTTTTTCCTTTTCTTTTTCTTTGTATCAATTTTACTATTCTAACAAAGGAGTGCTGAAAATTTCTTGGCCCATCCCACTTCACTAAAATCAGTATTTTGATGATGAAACTTAAAAATAATAATTTTGTGAAGTTAGCCAGTATGAAAAATTTTCAGCACCCCATTGTAGATATTTTTATGCATTCACAATAAAATACAAATCTTGTTTTTCTGTTTATATAAATATGTAATTATTTACATATATAGTAACATTAATCCAGTTTACAGTGTTGCATTTCTTTCTTTGAACAGCTTTTTATATTATATTCAGTGAGTAAACCAAATTACAGTAGCCCTCCCCCACCAAACACACCTTTATCAACAGTTTCAGCTACCATTGATCAATCCTACAAACAATTTATAAGTTTTAGTTAATGGTCACAAAGTACAAATTAGATATTCCAGAGAGAAGCTGCACTTTGCTTTCTTGAAACGAGAAGGTGAAAGTTTTCAACTTAGGAAAGAAAACAGAAAGCCAATGCTGAGGTTATTAAGATCTACAGTAGGAGCAAATCCTCTTGGCCATCACAACTTTTATTACAGTATATTGTTAGAAATGTCCTATTTTTAGATTAATTATTATTAATCTCTTATTTTGTTTAATTTATAAATTAAACGTTATCATAGGTGCATTTGTAAAGGGAAAAACCCTGTTTGTGTGAGATGTAAGATATATATATATATATATATATATAATTATTTATTTAAAAAAGTTTATAACATTTTTTAAATAAATAATTATATCTGCTCTACTTTGTATTGAGCACTCTTTTAAGAATAGTAATTGTTGGTTATTGGAATTCATTCCGTATACACCAATCATATACTTGTGTATATATATATATATATATATATATATATATATATATATATTAGAATCAGACAATGATAGAAGGAATAAATAGGAAACATAAATTTAACATATTTTGCTTTTATTTGAACATCAGAAAATGAAAATGTTTTCATTTCATTTAAATTTTCTGATGAAGCTTAAATAAAACGGAAACATGTTAAATTTATAAAAGAGTTTTGCATTGTCTATTGTTTCAGATACTTACTGCAGATATTGGAACATATCTGTTGGAAATAGGTGGAGGAGTCAATGTGAAGTATATTGTTAAAATTGTTGTATTTTATTATTTTTTTTTAATCGCTAATAATCAACAGTAAAAAGGAATCTTTTCTCTATCAGATTTTTTATTACAATATATTATTTTTCAATTTTATAATTAGTTATTATTAATCTCATATTTTGCTTAATTTATAAATTAAACTTTATTATTGGTATGTTTGTATAGGAAAACATTGTGTGTGTGTGTATGTATATATATATATATATATATATATATATATATATATATCACTTCCGTTAAGCTAACCGTTTAAATCGGTCAAGGTCTGGTCACTCCTCCTCCCTCAATACTAAGTATGATTGAGAGAGATGTTAAATTAAACCCTCCCTAAACTCTACCATGTCTCTCTAACTACTCCTATTACACTCTCTGTTAAATTACAAAAACTTACACAGCCCATCAATTTTCATTTCATTTTTGGTTTCATTTTTGCAAATGCTATCTGATGATCCAGAGTCCTTTAAAAGGGCTCTGGTGAAATAAATTATTATAATGAAACCTTAAAGTGGTCTGTTTTTCTTTAAAATAAATATATATTAAAATGGACTTGTTATTGAGCCAACAGATTTTTATCACTTTAAACGTTATTTTTAGTGGAAACTTGTTTTTGAGTATATTTATTTTTGCCTACCAGCCTCCTGAATGTTTGAGAAATCCAATTAAAGAAAAATTTGTGCTCTCTGGCAGGATTTGAACCAGTGTCCCTCAGGGCACAGGAAGCTACCGTTAAACCCAGAACACTGGTCAGGCGAGGCCATAATTTGTGCCTTTTAAGCAAAATTTCTCTGGTCATAGAATCTCTTGAAAAACTGAGCACTTACTCAAATACAAGTTTCAGCTAAAAATAACATTTAATGTTTTTTATATATATATATATATATATACACACACAAGTATATAATTGGTATATACGGAATGAATTTCAGTAACCAACAATTACTATTCTTAAAAGAGTGCTCAATTCAAATAAGACACAGGGTGTGTTGAAACAAAATGGCTATTTTTGTAGTGATTTTATAGCATACTTATGTTATAATTTGTTTTTATAAAAGATATATATATATATATATATATATATATGCGAGAGAGACAGTGAGTTTGGTATTATATATGATTTCAGCTACCTGATTACAGTCATATTACATTGAAACACTAGTTCTCATACAATCACCAAAGTTAAGCAATGTTGAGTCTGGTCAATACCTAGATGGGTGACCATTTGGAGATACCAGGTGCTGTAAGCTTAGATTTGCAGCTGGTGTAATGGATCACTGCTCAGAATTAGAAATTGGAAAGCCACATTACAATTCCAGTTGGGTTCGTTGCAATCACTTATGCACAAATAACCTTGGGAAAGGTATGAATCCACCTCTTCTCTCTCCAGCTATAGGTTAATTAGTAGCACTCATGCCAGTAAATAATTATTATCTTCAAAAAAAAAGATTTTTAAACCTAAAAATATTTTCTGGCTTTAAATAAGCTACAAAAGGTTGATAAGCTGTAAAAAAAAAAAAAAACAAGCTCTTGCTGAGTATCTTGGAATAGATCTCTTGCAGATCAGATATGACTATATTATATTGTTTAGAAACAATATGCCAATGAAAATTTATTAGTAAACAATTTAGCTTACTCTATTGTTTCATCTATGCACTGTCAACATGAATAGAGATGTTTTAACAGATATTTTACACCTAAAAATCATTGTAAGTCATAGTTTGGACAATATTGTGCTTAGTAATAAAATTAGTTAATGACTGAGTTTTTTTTTTTTTTGGTTTTTTTAATCAGAAAATTTTATGAGATTCAACTAATAAATAAAAACAATTGAATTCTTGATTAGTTAGCACTTACTCATTAGCAATGCTGGACTTTTTTCTTTTTTTTTTTTTTTAAAGCAGTACAAATTTTTGCAACAGGAACTCCTTTACTTCCTAACAAGTACAATGAAACTATATATATATATATATATATATATATATATATATATATATATATATATATATATTTCTTTTAAATCATGGTACTTTATTAAGAGCTGTAATGGACAAGAAATTACAGAGAGGCATGATCACCAAAATGTCCTGAAGGAACATGGCGCCTAAAAGAAGAATCTTATTTGATTTTGGCTTAACTTGATTTCACTAATCCAAGCAGACTTCTTATCACTTCTGCTACAGCCATAAATAACAAATAAAAAATTAACATTGTTAAAATGCTATATGATGGTAGCTTTAAAAGAAGCAAATTTGTCGGCCATTTTTGTAAATGGTAATGTGTCTTATTACACTAATTCCTATGTATATTCAATTAATATATTTAAATATAAAATACATAAATTCGATGTGCACACAGAATAATGGTTATCAGTGTGGAAAATGGGATTGGCAAGCCGAGTTCAAATTCAAGGTAGATTCATTTACTGTTGGAAAAAAAAAAAAAAGGCATGAATCTATCTTCCTCCAGCTATGGGTTAAATAGCAGGGAAAACTGGTTTCTCTTGCCTTGGATTACAGCCAGTCTAAAAAATAAAAAACTGAATTCAAACCCGAGGAAGAGATCTTTAGAGAATTTGTGGCATGCTACACTGTTTCTGTTATTAGTTCTGAAAAAGTTTATTTGGTGCTACACAAGCTTTCACCACTATCAAGTCACCTGTGTGTGTAGTCTGGTGGCTCCATTCTAAAAACTGAATTGTTTGGTCTTCATACGGTGGATATTGGCAGGATAATTAAATTATTTTCATATATATATATATATATATATATATATATATATTAGTATTAAGGTATGCTATATTTATGGGGTAAAGTACTGAATATCAGATATAGAGTGTATATAAATATAAAAGTGAACATTGAAGTCAATACTCAGAGGTAACAGTCTGTTTCATACTAAACACAATCATCCGATCACATACGTTGAGTTTTTCTCAACTAATGGAACGGAGCCCATTTTACTTTCAACTCAATTTAATTTAAAGGATTATATTGAAGTTTTCGGCTCTAGTTTTGAAACATGAGACCTCTTATGTAGCAATTTGGAATCATATTTTTAAATAAATAATTATATATATATATATATATATATATATATGGGTGAATGTTGCATTGTGGTTAGTCTATTTTAATGGTTATTTTGGTGCGAGTGGTTTGTTTATTTTTTTCTTATTTACTTTATTTGGATTAGTTTATTTTACTTCAGGGATAGAGCGTGTATAAATATAAAAATGGGCAATGAGGCCATTGTTGAGTAACGACAGTCTGTTTCATGCTTGAATGCAATCTTCAGGCCATGTGAGTTGTATGGTGGCTCAACTATTTATGTATGCTGGTAAATGGAGTATTATGGGTAGCAAGGATAGGTATTTTGGGTTTCTTGTATCATCCAAATGGTTATATTTCAAATTATTCTAAAGAAGTGGTTCTCAAAGTGGGCAGCCAGGCAGTGGCACATCTGAGCCATAACATACCACCATAACTCATACATACAGAAGTGTATTTTGTCTTTACAGTGTGTCTCATTTATTTAACAATTATGGGAAATACTAAGATACTTCTGTCTATATTGTATTGTAACTATTTACACTATTTGCATTGTTTAGACTGTTGTCTTCATATTTATTGCCATATTCACAACATTTTGGCCGTTGTATGCTCAAGCCTTCTTCAGGTGATATACATTGGAATTTCAAACTGAACTCTTTATTTCATCCACTGGAGTAGATTGTTCGAGTTCCACATGCCACGCCTTTTCTGGATATCTCAGTTTCAGTTATTCCTTTTTAGTAACTCAATTCTCAAGTTTTTGTTCACCTCTGTTGTGAATCACTGCATTACTTAAACCAACACTTTTATCTACTTGGCCAAGGACACAAAATGTGTTTATTTGTAGTTATTGTTTCAAGTTTTTGTTAACTTTTAAATCATTTTTTATTTTTGATTACTTAGGGTATTTTGTATTTATTCATTACTTATTTGTTGTTGTTGATTATTATTAAATTTACTTGTGTGATTATGAGTGCATTCATAAATCATGAATTGGTTTATTATTCCTTTATTTACTTATATATATATATATATATATATATATATATATATATATATATATATGTACTTGGGCACCAATCTCTCTTTTATGTAAGTTTTGTTGAAAATGACTGACAAGGTGCTGTAGTTAAAACATTCCTTTAACTCAAGATACATGCGTAAAACAGTGCATATATTAAGTTAAAAGTAAAGTAAAATTCATCCTTGATAATGGCATAATGCCTGGAAAACATTTGGCCAATTGTTATATAATTTATGTCCTGAAAACAAAGAAATTATATGAACAAAACTTAACCACAGCACCTTGTCAGTTGTTTTTAATGAAGCTTACACACACACACACACACACACACACACACACACATATATATATATATATATATATATATATATATATGTGTGTGTGTATTTAGGCAGCAATCTTTCTTTCATGCACATTTCATTAAATACAACAGACAGTGCTTTTGTTTAGTTTTTTATACAATTTCTCATGCAATCTCATAATTTTTTTTCTTTTCAGATGATAAATTATATGAAAACTGTCTGAATGTTCTTTTTATCTGAGCGCTTTTGGCTATACTTTTAGCCATTTTCAAGGATTAAATATTTTAACTGTTTTATTTATTACAAAAAATTAAAAAAAACTCTAACCTTATAGTTAAAAATGATAATTTACCTCCTAGAACAAAATTAAATGGGGCAAATATTATTTATGAATTTAAATACCCATTAAGGAATTGTATTCCTGATCAATCAAAATTTGTAAATAATTATATAGGTCACACTACAACATGTTTGACATGCAGACTCACTCTACACCTTTCTGACCATAGCTCAATTAGATCTCATTTAAATATTCATGGAGACCCACCGGACACTATTCGTAAAAACTTGTTGACAACACTAATATAATAGCATCATCTACATGCAAAAAAAGGCTAAAAATAATGGAAGCCTTATTAATAAAAACAAAAAAAAACAACACTTAATAATATTAACTTTGAACATGGACACAATATCTTGACTGTTTTTTGAAAAATTAAAACAACTTATAAAACATACATACAACAAACTATTTCTTATTTAACAGTTAAAATATATAATTCTTGAAAATAGCTAAATGTATAGCCAAAAGTGCTCAGATAAAAAGAACATTCAGACAGTTTTCATATAATTTATCATCCAAAAAGAAAAAAATTATTAGATTGCATGAGAAATTGTATAAAAAACTAAATAAAAGCGCCTTGTCTGTCGTATTCAATGAAATGTGCATATATATATATATGATAAAATTGATCAATTTCATAAGGTGAATTGGCAGGTGATATAAAAAAAAATGACTTACAGTTGTTAACTGGGGCAAGAAATGGCTTGTCAATTTTAACACCTCCAAAATGAAACTTCTCTCTATTAATTACTTCCTGCCACACATCAGCATGGTTGATTCTAACCTCCATGTGACTGAGTCATTGCACCTTCACAGTCTAACAGTCTTGGTTGATATGAAGTGGAAAAACTCTGTTGAATCCATTGCTAGGTCTGCTGCTAAGAAAGTCGGTCCAATGTGTTGTGCTAGACAATTTTTCTCTCCAGAATCTATCTTGCATATTTATAAGTCCACCATTCTCCCGTGCTTTGAATAATGCTTCCACATCTAGTCCAGAGCACCTGCTATATATTTAGAGATTCTTGATAAAATCCAAAGGAAAATCAATATTATTGGTCTTGACCTGGCATCTCAGTTTCAGTCACTTTCCCACCTCCGTAATGTAGCTTTCCTGTGCCTTTTCTACAAATATTTCTGTGGTAATTGTTTTGATGAACTCTTTGCTATGGTACTGAAACTTTATGAATTTAATCACAGTACTAGATTGGCAGCAAGGTCTCATCAATTGACAGTTGAATTGGCTAGATGTAACTGTAAGTTCTATGCTAACAGTTTCTTTTCTTGCACTTCTCATTTCTGGAGCTCTCTTCCGGATTCATGCTTTCCAGCCAACTTTGATCTTCCAAAATTTAAATGCAATGTCACTCATTATCTACTGTCTTGATTACACTTCTATTCTTCTCACTCCCTAATATTTCTCTTTTTTTCTTGTTCTTTCACATTCAGTAATCTTGTATCTTAGTGGCTTTACTACTTTGGATGGGGTGATCTGATTTTAAAAAAATTATATATAATTTTGCAATTATTTATAGTTTAGTAAAGAAAGCACTCTGAACAATGGTTAGATAAATCAATTAAGAAACCAAAAAATGTAGATTATCAAATCATTGTTAAAACTACGTTTTTCAAACCTGATAGTCTTTTTATCAAAAATTGTTCAAACAACTTCTTATAATCAATCAATCGATCTTTTAGTTTGTGTTTCACAGAATATCACTGTCTGTGCCTCATAGCAGTGTCACAAAGTAAAATGATGTGCATTGACCTTAGCTTTCCAAAGATTGATTTGTGGTTTAATAAAAAAGTCTTAGGAGATTCTATTAGTTTTGAGTAGTATGTTTATTGATTAGGTACCTTCTCTTCCTTTCTGAAAAAACAAAGATTAATCTTCCAAATTGTTTTTAACGTAAAATGTAAATGTTTCATATTATTTCAGATTTAATTCAATCTTTTTTTTTATTTTCATTTAAGAGTAATTTTAATGGAAGAATTCATAGATCATATTAATTACAAATAAGTTCAGTTTAGTCATGCAACAGGAAAACAAGGCTACAAAATAAAAACCAGGTGAAAAAAACTGTCATTGAAATTATTGAAAGATAAACTTGTCTTAATAATAATAGAAATGCTTTAACTCAGAAATTCAGACAAATTGCAGTTAATTTATTTGGAGCATGAATTGGTGTCTGTGTATAATATACTGCAATTTTAGAGAAGCAATAATATATTATTTGATAATTATATGATATTATTCTTGGTGGTTGTGGATAACAAAATTGTCGTCACTTCAGAGAAGCAATATGTTTTAAAAAAAAAAGAAACTTTCTAGTGCAAAAATTAATTTATATTAATCATAATGACTAAAATTTCCATGAGATGTTGGTACAAAGTATACTTTTCTTTTTCTGCTTTTCTATAATAAAAAAAAATATTTTATGTTCAGAAAATGACAAGGCAAAAATTGTGGTATTACTAAGACTAAACTTAGCTACTTTAAATAAAAAAAAAAAACTTTTGCTGTAAAATCTCCCTTATGAACTGTAGCCTTGATAATTTTAAAAATTTTAATAATATACATCTATCAAACTATTTAATTTCAAGCAAGATTTGATTTCTTGAGGTGATAGTATTTAGAATCTAATAAGGTTATTTCTAAAGGCGCTTCATTCAGTATAATGACTGGTTAAATTTCAAGGTACAATGAGGAGTACATCGATCAAGTTTAAGGAAATCAAAATATCTTGAATCTCAAATTAGCTTTTCTGAAAATGTTAAATAGCATGTGATTTGTAAGAAAAGTCAGAGTTGTAAAGAAAGATGAAAGATTGTGTGTATGATGATATTAGGATAAAATTAAGTATTGCCGGTTTTGCCATTATGAATGGACAGAACACTTTATCGATTTCAGCACTTTCTGATAAAACAAACTATCATTTCTCTACTTTTGGAATTAAATCATAGTCAAGTGAGGAAAAGTGTACAGTTCTCTTTTTTCTTTTTGTTAAAATTTCTTTTGATCTTCTATAAGTTGTCGTGAAAAGTCACTTTGAGTATTGGATATGACTTTCTTGAGACATTCTTGTCTTTTGACTAAAAGTAAATGGTTTAAATTTCCATTCCACCAAATAGAACATTTTTTTAATACTGGTTCCTTCTTTCATCATTGGTATTTTTTTTACTTTTCTTCTTTGGTCTTCCCACCTTCATACATACATACATACATATATATTTCCTATAGCTATAAACATTTTTGAGTTGCTATTCCTGTTCTATTTTATTAAATAGTGAAATTAAAAATGGGCCTAAATTTAGAAGTCCTACTAAAGGAAAATTGTGATTCTGACATTAATCCAACCTGTATCCCTTTTTACTATCAGGGAAACCATTTTTTAGCCAAAATGTATTTCTACAAGTTTGGACAGGGAGCATGCTTGACAGTGCAAGGTCTGAATAAATCTATTAACAAAAGACCATTTTTCTTGTTGGTCCTTCTGTGAATCTATATCTGCTAGTGTCCGTTTCAGACCTGAAATGTAAACAAGAGTAATTTGGAGGCACAATTTTTCTTTTTATGTATGTTAAGCCTGAAGTGCTGAGTTGGTTTACTGATTACAGGAAATGTAATTGGCAAATTGAGTTCACATTCTTGCTAAATTTTTACTCTTTTTATTTCAACTATTTCTCTTCAGAACATCAGTCCATTATGTGCCATGCGTGATAGATGCTTAGACAATTTCGATATATGACTGATGAGGCAGATTTTTTTCTGCAGTAGGTTGCCATTTTTTTCTGCAATAGGCCAGTTGCCATCCAAGGCTATAGAACCCTGTCTGTCCTGCTATTTGCTCATAACTGGGGGGAGAAGAGGATTTATACCTTTTCCAAGGGTATTAGCACATAAATGAATGTAATGGATTTGACTGGAATTTGAACTCGGCTCTCCGATTTTTCAATCTGAGCCGCTATCCATTACTCCACTGTGCTTTCTCTTCAGGACATACGTGATCATAATTCTTCATGAACTCCTCTAAAATATTTAAATTGGGAATTGCTATGATTGTTCTTGGAAAAGGTATTGAAATGATTTTTTGTTGCCTTTTTCTTGGTTTTGATTCAGAGTTGTACTCCTGAACTGGTACACGGTTAAAATCCCAGTCTATCTTACTATGTTATTCATAACTGAAGGGGGAATATATCAATCCATACCTTTACTAAGGATATTAGTGAAAATTGAATTTACCAGACTAAGCCAGAATTTGAACAGCCAACTAATTCTATTTTCCACATTGATAACCATTATGACACCTGCACATCCTTCTTTGCATTAATACATTTTAGAAATTCATTTATTGCTTCCACTAATTCAGATCAGAGATTATTACTCCCTGATGCTGGTAAACCAGTACAATCTGATGCATGTTACTGGGAGAGGTGTTGGGCACCACCCTCATTACTCAAAAAAAATGCCTTGAACAATTCAGCAGAGTATGCTAATGATTTACTGTGTTGTGGGATAATTTGGTTTCATTTCAATCTTCACATTAAAATTAAAATATAATTTTACAAAGTTTGCTGATGCCTCCATGTAATCTAAGCTCTTGTAATTTTTTGCTTTGAGAGAAGAGAAAAAATTTGAAATTACCTTCTTGGATTAAACAGCTTCTGCAGGCACTGATTAGTCAGAAGTGGGGTGCCTATTTGATGTCCTGACTTCCAAAGTTTCTTTCCATCTTCATAAAATGGAAATCTTTGTCATTTTGGCTGTTGGAAATTTCCATCATTTATTGTTGAGTGATAGAACTGAAATGACCAAAATTATCATTATCCACACTTAATTTCTTTTCTTTTTTTTTTTTTTTTTTAATCAATTCGCTCTGAGCAAGGCAATAATGCCACTAAGATGCAAGGGGCTACTGAAAATGAAAAGTTTTTAGAAGCAACTGGAAATCTGATCCTAAACATTGAACAAGAGATAAACCTATAACCCTGTTCAAATAACCAGGGAGGTGTGTGAACCAGATGATCAGCAAACCTATCTATTCTTACTGATGAAAAAAAATATATAATTTGTAAATAAAATTTCAGAGTTCAGACACACATTAAAAGTATAGAGTTGAAGTAGACTAGAATGAACAGGAAATCCAATCCTAAACAGGAAACATGGGATAAACCTCTACTCCTGTTCATAAGTGGAGTGTGAACAAGTATTTGAGCTAAATTATTTGCATTGAAACTTGTATAACTTGAATCTGGTGTGTTGATTGGTCAGAAATTCATCCAATATGATTGGATGTTACTACAAAATATACTTTCTACTCTACTCCTTTTCTTTAATCATAAGTTGATATTCATTGTTGAATTACCTTCTCTAATATAGTTTATCACCCACACCGACACACATGCACACTACTACTACTAGAGAAAAAGAGAAAAGGACAATTTCTATTACCAGCTAATACCTGATGGATTTCTGACCAATCAACACTTGTGATTTTTTTTTTTTTTTTTTTTTTTTCCACATTATTGCTCTCTTGATACAAAGCACAAGAGCTGCTCATGGTAGATGTTGCTGTAAATGCATACAAGGAGGGAGCAAGAGAGGTATATTTTGGGGATAGGTAAGATTGCAGATTCTAGTGCAAACAGTTTAGCTCAGAACCACCCATTAACTGTGGATCATGACAATCTCAGTCATTGTAATTCTGTGACCAAATGGTAAATGATGGTAATTTATATTGGTCAGAATGACAAAAGTTTCCATGAGATATTAGTGGTTGTTGGTACAATGTATACTTTTCTTTTTCTCCTTTTCTAGAATAAAAAGTTAATTATTTTTTTTTGTGTGCAGTAGGTCTTTGTTCAGAAAATGACTGCATTGCATTCTCTGACATTGCTAGTTTATCACCTTCTACAGATTAATTTTCGTCGCCCCAAGGCTCGCCGTCGCCATGTTCCCCAGCAGGTAAGGTTGACCTGCTGCGTGTAAAGCACGAAACTGTGACCTTACTCCCACTGACTTTTGACACTGCCTACTGTTTGTACTTACTCACCTCATAGCTTAGAACATGAACTGTTTCTTGACTTGTTCAGTCTTAACTGAATGAACCTTAGTTTGCTGATCTGCAATTCAGTGTTTGATTGTGTCTTTGTTGGCTGCTGTCTGTTAAAATTAATAGAATTGTTTTCTTGTCTGGCATTACTCCTCATTTGCAGGAGATATATATATATATATATATATATATATATATATATATATATATGTGTGTGTGTGTGTGTGTGTCCAAATTATTTTCAGATAGAGTATATCTGTAAAGGAACAAAATGACAAGAGGAAAACCATTCTTAGCCACCATGTTTCATCCTCTGACAGACGCAGTGTAGGATTTATTTTGTTGCATATATTTATATACAATTGGTTTATCAAGACTTTTAAATTTCAGAACGTTCATGAATGTTCATCAGGTGTTTGAAAAGTATATAAACACATGCGGCAAAATAAATTCTACATTTGCCTTGATAAAGTCCCTCAGAGGACAAAATGCTTCAGCTAAGATTAGTTTTCCTCTTTTTTTTATATATATATATATATATATATATATATATATATATATTAGCATTTTTTTTTTATGAACTTACAAATGTATTGGCTCTTCCATGCAGCTTTCTTGGTTTTTATTGATATAACTTTTTTTGCTAACTCCCATTTCATTTCAATGAGAAGAATGAGAATGTGTAACTTATTTTGGAGTTGCCATTAACTTTGTCATTATTTTTTTTTAATTTGGTTTTTCATCAAATGAGCTCAAAAGTGACATACTTTATCTAGTAACAGAAAGATGTAACCTTATCTAATATTTAATAATGACAGGAACCTCATCATCTGTGTATATCTCCGAGAGGAGGTATTATGATTATTTACATTATTCGGACTGTTATCGTCATCTTGATTGCCATATTCATGACATTTCAGCTGTTGTATACTCCAGCTTTCTTCAGGTGATTGGAATTTTGAACCAAACCCTTTATTTCATTCACCAGGGTAGATTGTTCTAGTTCCACGTGTCATGCCTCTTTTGGATGTCTCAGTTATTTCCCAATGTCTTTATCCACTGGGCCATGAAGATGTTGATTAGATCCAGTGACTAGACCCAAAGAGTTGTGAGTTCAATACCAGGCTACAGCAGTGATGAACCAAAATATTTGGAGAATTGAGTTAAAGGGAAATAACTGAGACATCTGGAAGAGGCATGGCACGTGGAACTAGAACAATTTACCCTGGTGGATGAAATAAAGGGTTTGGTTCTAAATTCCAATCACATGAAAAAGACAAAGAATGTACAATGGCTGAAATGTTGTGAATTTGGCAATGAAGATGAAGATAACAGTCTGAATAATGTAAAAAGGAATCTCATCATTTGAGTGCTTTCAACAACAGCAACAGCTAAAATGGATTGCACATACAATTTGAAGAGAAAATAATGATGTAATCAAGATGTTGACCTTCCACAGTACTTCAAGCAGAAGGTTAGAAAGGAAACATCCATCAGTACTGGAAAAAGTTATAACAGCAAAATGGAGAAACTTATTTCTGAAAAATTGTTTTTAGAGAAAGATTTTATAAATTTCAACTGACAGTAGCACTAGCCACTTAATCAATGAATGCCGACTGTTTCTTTATAGGGAAATAGCTAATATTACCTTTATCAATTGTTAACCATTTTAAATGGCTTAACTCCTGGATGAAAACAGATTCTGACATGTCTCACATGTCAAATATTCCTAAAAAGAAAATTGTGGCTTCATGAGTCATATATTTTTTAAAAAAAACTGTCAGAGTTGGATACTTTTGTGAGACTCTCTTTTCATCTATGCAAATTTGACCTGTCACTCAATCTATAAAAAGTGCTTAAAGATGCAAGAGACAGAGAGAAGTGGAACTGTGGTAGTGAACAGGAGACATGTTGTTGAATTGTTTGACTCGTGCTACTCTGTTGGTTGAAGGAAATGAATTAGGGAATCTTAATATAAGCCAGAAGAAACTGACTGCATTTTAAGACATTATTAAGTTAATGGCAACTTTTGAAATTGAGTATTATGATCATCTATTCCACAATTCTGTAATTGACTTGGAAATTAATGGGGAAGCAATAGAAGTGTTGGATCAAGTTTGATCATTAATTTATTTTTCAAATACTTATTTCTGTGCTCTTAACACAGAATGCTTTTTTTCTTTTCCCTGTGACAAATTTTTATTGTTCATGCCTACTTTCAGTCAGTTTTACTCTTGTCCAGAATTTGTTAATTGTTGTATATGGTTTTCTTTGTGCAAATTTTTTTTTGTCTTTATATTTCTACAGTATTTCAGTTATATACACTTTGGCCTTGCTCCATTGTCTGTTGTGTTCTAGGAAGATGTTCCCTCTTATTCTAAGGGAGCATGCACATCCTTCTCCCACATATGTCGTATCTATTTTTTGCATCCCTGTTATTACAAGTGAGAGGAGATGCTCATGCTCCTTCAGAAAAAAAAAACTGAACAATTTTCTGTAACACAAAAGACAATATAAAGGCTGGGAAGTATGCATCTGGAATGTCTTTAAAAAAAAAACAAAAGAAAAAAGACAAAGATATTTCTCCAAAGAAAAGCACATTCAAGGATTAGTTCTAACCATTTGTTCTGCTTTGGTAATTCAGAAAAAACATTTTTTTTTCCAAATGCTTAAAACTGAAAGAAACGTTTAATCAAAGTATGAAATGCTTGATTGTTTATGTTGTTAACACAACTTACCTATATTCACATATTTTTTATTTGAATGTCAACATTAGAATATCTAATGAAAAGTTATCTTTGCTAACCTCTAAGATGCCCTTTTCCCCCAAATTGATTCAATTTGAATTTTATGCAATACCATTATCGATGGAAAATTGAGCACTCGGCATAAATTTTGGTCAGTTTTTTTAAAAGATTCCTTTAAGCATTTTATTGCCTAGAAAATTGCATAATTAAACTCTAAAGCATCCAGAGAACATATACCTGTCAAATGAATAAAAATCAGTCTGTTGATACAATGTACATGATTGTGTTAGTTTTAATTCCGCCCACAATATTTCAAATTATTGTTTTAATATGTCTATATTTCTGAGATGAGGTATTATGTACACTATTTACTTTATTCAGACTATTGTCCTTACCTTTGTTACCATATTTATCACAACGTTTCGGCCGTTGTACACTCTGGCCTTCTTCAGGTGGTTGGAATGTCGAACTGAACCCTTTATTTCGCTCGCTGGGTTGACAGAGTGCATAAGTAACAAAAGTGTCCAAGGAAAATGGAAGCAAAAAGGACATTTATACTTACATAATCAGAAAGAGAAAAGTGAAAGTTCTTGTACATATATAATGAAGAAACAGGGTTTGGAGAAGTTAACACTCATAGGACATATTGAAAGTAAAAGGGACAGAAGTGTTAAGAGGCCACCTACTTGATGACTTGTGAAAATGCATGACAGAACAAGGAGCAGAAGGGATAGAAAATAACAAATGTTACTAGGAACCACAAAGGATAGGAAATTATGGTGAGCCATGACCATCTATATCCTGAATGGGCACACAGAAGAAAAAGAATTAGTTGTTGGGTTCGTTTCTGGCATGGTGAGTTTGCTGCTTCTTAAATCTTGGAATCAAACTAGAGAGAGAGAGAGAGAGAGAGACACTCTTTTCCCATTTCACTTGCTTCTTTTTCACAGTTTCTACCGAAAATCTGAAGCTGTAGAGAATCTACAGTTGCTTATATGCAACTGGTGTGAAATTAAAAACTTTTGGCATAGTTCTAAAACAGTGGTTTTCAGCCTTTTTGCTGGAGCGGAACCACAAGGAAACATTCCAGTGGCTCGAGGAACCCCTGAAATAAATTAATTGTCTTATGCAAAAAAAAAAAAAAAAAGCTTTCAATTATTAAAATAAAATAAAAATACTCATCTTCAGATTTATTTACAAAAAAATACAAAGACAAACTGTAAAAATATTGTATACATACATATGCAATTTTAATCTTGCTTCTACGGTTATTACACATGTATTAAAAAACTTCAGTTTAAATGAATTACAGTTGTAACGTTTGTTTAACTGCTAACTCAAATCAAAACAAAATTTTCTGACAATGTTCGAAGGGATTAAAAAATTTAAAAAAATAATTAGAAATTACTTTCATCTTTCCTCTTAATAAAAATATAAACATTTTGATGGAAAAAGTTTGTTTTAGTAAGTTTGGGATGTTTTTTTATTCATACTATGCTGTTTTGTTATTGATTTAGTGGAGTTATCTAAACACACATCTACACAGGAGAATTAAAAATTACTGTCAATCATAGTACTTGTGTAACTTCTTGCAGAACCCCTGGGCTTTACTGGCAGAATGCTAGGGTTCTATGGAACCCTGGTTGAAAACCACTGTTCTAGAACAATTCATAATCTAAATGTTGTTCATCAATTCCACTCAATCTATAATACTGAAATTTAACACTTGCTGGACTGAGTTATTCACAAAGTGATAGTTATATAGTGCTTTCTTCCATTGTGAACACTTCTTAACCACTGTTGTTCCCAGTTCCACCCCTGACCTGAGATGGTAGCACCTGTTAGGATCTCAACTATAGGCAAATAGTAAACTCCCAAATAAAAATCGATAGTATATTTTTTATAATGAAATGACCAACAATACATTTTTATAGCAAAATAACAATCAATGCAACACTAAAAGAAAACATAAAAATACATTTTTATAGGAAAATTACCAACAATACAAACTATACATTGAAAAAAAAACATAACTTTATTCTGAAAGTAAAAATATTATGTACAAAATATCTATAGTTGAAAGCATAAAATTATGTACAAAATATTTAAATTTCAGCATTAAATCATCCATAGAGGTTGATATTAAGTGATTTATATTTATAAACCTATAATTTCTTAGCATTATGATAGTATCATGGGGCTTAGGATACCTTTTAGTTTTCAGGTTGGTCTATTCTGTCCACTTGACATGGTGAGTATAAGGCAAAATATTTGCTGAGCTGAGTTTTGGTTTTGCTGTTTTTGAAACCACAGTGAAGGATTTATTTTATTATCCCTTTAAAACTCATGTTTACTCTATTAATGTTTGCATTTTTATTTCATTTTTTTAAGTTCATAATAATAATAATAATAATAATAATGATGATGCCATTTTTATATCCGGTTTGTGGCTATGTTGATGACATTTGATGTTTTCTTGTTTTTCTTATATGATAACTACTACCATTACAACTACTACCACTGCTACTGTTGCATGCTATGTGGGCCATATTTTTTTTTCTTAGCCATGTTGCATGATCTATCAAATTAGGAAGGGTTCCTTCTTTATTTTTTTTTCTAATCTCTATTTTATTTCAGTGATAATTCAGTTGTTTTGTTCTCAAAATCAAGGTTCCCTTCTCAATGCTAGAAATGGTTTTTAAAAAACAAAATTTGATATTGATTTTGACAAAGAAATTAAAAAAAAAAATTCTTAAATTTGGCAAGTTGTTTTTGTATTCAAAGACAGAGCAATATCTTCCATGATGCAATCAATACAAAATGAGGACAGTGATAAAAATTATTGTATTTAAGAGAATGTCAGATCTTTCTGCCCCCCCCCTAAAAGTATTTGCTCAAAAAAATATCTCCTGTATCTTATATTCAAAATTACAGTAGCTGGTAGGTTGTTTGCTTAGATTCCATAGATGTCCAGTACTTGAACCTAGTCTAACTCTGTTCTTGCAAGATCATTGAAGTTGAGCAATGTCAAGCCTGGTCAATACCTACATGGCTGAATGCTTGAGAATACAAAGTGCTATATGCTTAGATATGTGTGGAGTGTAATGAATAATGGCTTGGAATTGGAAATCAAAGAACCAAGTTCCAATTCCAGTTGAGTTCTTCATATTCACTTACGTGCAAATACCCTTGTGAAAAGTATGAATGCACTTCTCCCCACCCCAACAATAGTTTAATTAGTAAGACTTGTATCACTAAAACCATTACTATCTCAAAAAAATTATTATAAACTAAAAAAAAATATTTTCAGGCTTTAAATAACCTGCAAAAGGTTGATAAGCCATAAAACACAAATCAATCAATCAATAAAAAAAGTTAGTCTAATTCTATAATATTGTAATAGGAAATGTAAACAGGAAGGTCTTATGTCATCAAATACACTAGTTTGTTGATATTTTTTTATTGCTTTGAAAGAGTACTGAACTGTTACATGATATCAGTCCTCCTGTATGGCAATGAATGCTGGACAATCTCCTCAAAGATGAAGAGGAGACTTGAAACAACATGCTTCGGATACCATGGATCAAACATGTGGTTTTAGAGAAAATAGAAACAAAAAGGAAACTTATGCTTCACATCAGGAAGAGAGTTAAAATTTCTAGTGCACATAATGAGGAAAGAGGGCTTGTAAAATTTGATACTCCCAGAACAGATTGAAGGCAACAAGAGAAAACAATTCATAACCAACTTAGTGAGATTGAGTAAATAGATGGTGGAACAGGGTTCAGGAGAAATGACAGAAAGACCAAATTTATTAAGAGCTATGAAAAACAGGAAATTGTGGAGAGCCATGATTGCCTACGTCCTGAAGAGATACAATGCATAGAAGAATCTTTTTCATAAAATTTATAGAATATGACATCTCTCTAATGTATGCACATTTATCCCGTTTGATTTCATCTGATAGCAAGAGATGGGGGTACCAAAATCCAAGATGAGGTTTAGTACCATGGTGATGTTTTTTTAAATTTTGAAAGTCCTTTGGTATCAAAATGTTGTTTAATTTTTGTTGTTTGTCAATCAAACTAAAAGAAATAAATTTTTTAATTTGTGTATTTTCTGTACTATGAAAAATATTGCATTACAATAATAATGTTTCCTTATATAAGATTGTTGCAGTAATGTATTTCCTTATATAAAATACTTATGAATTAGTCTTTCTTTAGTCTTATTTAACATTTTTAATGTACTTTTACCTGTTCAATCACAATGACTACAACTAATTTAGCCATTTATGTCAGATGTCTGTGAGAGAAGCCAATCTCTTGTTTTATTGTTTTGTTTTTTTTTTCAAAAAAATAAGTGAATATATTAGACCTGAAATATTTAAAATTTGCACTTGAATAATAAGATATTGCTGTGTCTTTGTCATGATCTCATGTGTCCAATCTCTTTTGTCACCATATCTGACCACTGGATAGGGCTCAGTAAAAGCCAGATTCTTGCAGTCAGCATTGGTAAATAAATAGCTACATCTCTTACAGGAAAAAGCACGACTGACTCATGTGGAATGCAAAATCCAAGAACTGTCACAATTCTGCTCTGTGCCGGTCAGTGATGAGGGCTACGACCACAGTGAGCGATCATCTGATGCTGAAAGTGAGGTACATCTCTCCATCTTTGAATACTTTTTCCTCTTGCCTTCACCTCACTTAATTTTTTTTTTTTTTTTCACACATTCTTCCAAGCAAAAATCTTTCGACGTACATTGTTTTATTTGTTTTCATTTATTCAGTTGAAACCATGATATTTTTGTGTACATCACATTGCTAAACTATCTCATCAGCTGTTCCAAGAAAATCATTAGTTTGTCATTCTCACCCTCAACAAATTACCTTGAATCTCTGACCTATTATCAGAATAAGAACACTCATAACATAGATATTTCTTCTGAGATATTCTATCAACCACTCCCCCAATAAATTTCTTATGAGATATCTTGTCAGACATTTTTTTTTTTTTAAATTGTAGTTGTAGGGTGGAAAATAACTGCCCACAAAGCTGCACAGATGTTTTTGAATTCTATCAAGACAAGCAAGTGAGGATTAGACAGCTACCAACCTAGATATGGCAGCAATACTCCATTTTTGGTCTGATCTGAATCTTGTAAAGTTCAGTATAACAAGGGGAGTTAGAAACTTATTGAAACTTTACAAGGAACTATTTTTTTCAACATTTTTAGCAATACATTGTATATAGGATTTCTACTTGTTTCATGTTTTTTCACAAACTGAGAATTCCATCTGACAATTTGTTTAAAAAATATCCCCTGATTTTAAATATTATTTTTTCATTTATATGGCTAATTTTAAACAGGCATTCTTTGGAAGTGCAGTTAAATTTTTTAACTTCTTTGTCTTGTTTCTCTTCATTTTGTATGCAAGAAATTTATTACGAAATATTTTCTTTTTCAAACAAAGCATATACAGGGTGTGATGTATAAATTGTCAACTAAATTACACAAAAATGAAAATAACACTGACATCTCATATTAGCAGATATATTTACCAAAATTACACAAAAATATCTTGAAATACTAGAGAGTCAATTTACTCAATGAAATTGCCATAATCTTTACTTTCACTTCATCTTTGGTGTTAAAGGAGTTTTGTTGGTCTCTTGTTTAACTGCACCCCACACATGATAATAAAGGGGGGTTGCAGTCTGGGGTGTTAGGTGGCCAGATGTAAGGGGTGATGTGGTCGCAGAAATTGTCTGACAGCCATGGCTGATTTCTCCCACTTATGTGGCATGGTGCAGAGTCATGTTGCCAAGCATAGGGTCTTCCAGCAGTCACTCTCTTCACCTAGAGCAGCACTACCGCCTCAAGGCACTTGACGTAGGCCTCTGCATTGAGTCTAAAGCCCTCATCCCCAAATTTGAGAGTTATTTTCTTATCAGAATGATCAGAGTGAATTTTCGAAGCTGCCGTACCATTATAATCACCATTATCACTCTTTCCGAATCCTCTGCACTGTCCTCAGATTGACACTCAAACACTGTGAAATGATCGTATAGAAGCACCCAGTGCAACTGCCAAGCTGTACAGCAGGCCATTTCCAAATCTCTGGCAGAATGAATTGCATTATGGTGCTCTTTTTCTCACAGACAGTGCCCAACTGACCTTACTATACTGTGCAGTTGACATACTCATAAACAACATACATGCATGAATTTAAAAATATATAATGCTGACAATTTACCCATCGCACTCTTTATTATCACAGTTCTTAGAGCATTGCAATAATAAAAGAAAATAGTTTTTTTTTACTGAAAGAAACAAAGTACAATTATTGTTAATATTTTACTTTAAATTTTTTTTTTTAATAAATATCAGAGTGTAATATCAATACAGGTATTAGTAAGATTTTAATTAGTCCTTTTAACTTGTACATAATTCTAAATATCAAACAGGTGCATATTGGTATATTTAAATAGTTATGAAGATTTTAATTACTTCTTTTAGAATTAATAAAATGTTACCAGAATAAAGAAATCTTGGTTTAAAACTTCCCAAAACTTATATATATATATATATATAGTTGAAATTAAATGCTCTCTAACCATAAAAATAAAGAAAAACTAAAATAAGGTAAATGAGATGTGAACTTTGATCTTAAATCCAAGAAGCTCATCTTGCATGGATAACATCTTAATGATTTTGGCTGCACAAGCCCAAGACCCTTGGTTGGGCAAAAATAGAATAATGAGGATTCTTCGGAAACAGGAATGGCAGCATTGAAAGTTAAGTATTAGTCACAACAGCCCACTAAAGACAAAATGGAGATGAGATATGTATTTAAAAAAGTATGGTATTAATTTTCATCATTTGATGCTTAACTTTTAGCACCTATATGTAGGTGACATCATTTGTCAAAAAAATGTTTGCACAGCCACTGCAGGCAACTCTGATCATCACACAAATAGAGTGGTTGAATTTTGTGCTAGTGTTGTCATATCCCACTATGGCAACAGGAAAATGACTAACTGAAAATCGAAGATAAGGCTATTGCAGCTTTGGGCCATTTGTAACCAATGGATGAAATACTTATGAATATTGCAGGATGATAATGGTTAAGAAAGAAGATAGCAAAAACATTAATAATCCTTTGTCACTAAAACTGTTACTGAACATTATCTTATCCAGATTTCTAAAACAAAAGGAAATTCTTGTTTAATATCACTTGACTAAGTATATGAGGGTCAGATGGAAAGTTTATAGGATGACCAAAATGTAAATGCAATTAGACACACCAGCTGTTTTATTTTGGAACACTTGCATGTTTTTTAGTGTACCAACTGCTGTATCTACTTACATTTATATTTTGGTTAGTCAATGAGCTTACCAGTCAGCTCTTGTACATTCTGTCATCCACAAAGATATCAATGTGTTTGGAAGTAATGAGAATTTGTAATGTTACAAATATACATTATTGAACAGCTTTGCTAAAGTAATACTACCCTAGTTCTTTCCAAAGTAAACATCTTTAAGGACCTCACATACTTATTCCTGCATAGTTTCTGCTTTTCTAAACCTGTATGAAAAAGCCTCTTTAAATATCATTATCTGCTCTCTCATCTTGTTCTCCTTAGGGCACCTTAGTGTGGCATTATGGTTAATGAGGCTAATCTGGTTGATCATTATTATGGAGTAGTTTTCAATCCTCGTTAGGTGCCCCATGCTGAATTTGCCATTAAATAGCCAAACAAGGTTTGATTTGAAAAAAAAATCCAATAAGGGTCTTCAAGTATGGAATTAGCCTTAATCATGAAAACTGTTTTCTTTGACAGTGGTTTTAGATTTGTGAAGAGCTTTTTTTTTTCTTTCTTTTTTTCGTGAAATGAAAAATGTGAAAAATCTACTTGCTCAGTTATTTTAAAAATGGCAGTCACACAGTATACAAACTCACTCAATGTCATCTCATTAGCATTTGAGAAACTCACAGGAGAGTATCTGTTCACAATTGCAGAGTAAGGGCCCTTCCAGTTGTTTGCCAACTAGTTCTTAAGATATAGTGCCTGGATACATTCTGGACATATTGGAGTTTAGATTAAATACTTACAGGCTGTTTTTTTTTTTATTTCCCTATCCTACTTGGTGATGGAATTAATTATCTGCATCTTGACTTATAGAACTACATATGATTTCTTAAATGATTCACGCCCACTGGTGTGTGTTGTTCCTATAAAAAGTAGTTTCTTCTAGAGGGAATCCGATGTCAGCCTGATTGATTACTGTTCATCTTCCAGGCTTCACTTTTGTGTATATTTTTAATGTCTGCACAGCAAATCTGTTACAAAGAGGAAAGATGTAATCATTGCAGTTCTAGTGCATATGCACTAGATTCAATAGAATTAATAAACAAAAACCAGAGCCAGTAATAACTTATTTCAAATAGGCCCCTCAAAAGAAAATAGCTCAATAGCTGAAGATTGGATTAGGAATCAAAAGGTTTGGGGTTCAAAAGCTGTTTTCAGGTTAGTAAAGATCATTTAACTATAATATGCTAAAGAACTATGATAATGTCTTTTTGTAAGGCTGCTTGATTAAGTCAACAACTAAAGGAAATCATTAGGGAACCAATTTGGATCAAAATAACTTAGCAGTAGATGGGGGTACGAAAAATGTTATGAGGTTTAATACCATGGTGGTGTCTTTTAAGATTTTGAAAGTATTTTGGCACCAAAACATTCTGTGTTTAACTTTTGTTTGTCAATCAAAATAAATCCAATATGAGGAATTAGATAAAGAGGATGATTTTCCTTATGCAGTGGTGGAGGCTAAAATTGAGTGACAGGAAAGGTGACGCCATAATAAGCATTATACTGTAGGAGGCACAGTTGTACATTTATCTAGCTACTCTGTTGGTAATGACTAAAATTGTACAGCAAAAACTTGATGGTACTAACCAAGTGACTTCCTTGATCCAAGAACTTGATCAAAATAATCATATAATAATTATGCAATTATTAGTTTGCACAACTCTTACACTTTGTCAATACCCAATTATGGACTAGTCCATTTTGATCACGTGAAAAGACAAAGAATGCTAGTTGCTTTCAGCGGAAAAAAAAAAAAATGAAAGAGAACAGAAGATTGATGTGTTTAATGTCTGTTTCATTCATATTTATGAGTTTTATTGCAATATTTTGTTAAAGTTGTTAAACTCAAATATTTAACAATGTCATAAAGGAATTTCTATGGATATTTTATTGTCATAGAACTCGTTAATAGCTTATTCAACCACTAACTGAAAAATTAAGATTCATCAGAAATTTAAAATAGAAAAACCATGAAATTTTCACAGGTTAAAACTAGTAAGATTTAAGTGGGAACCAGAAAATTGGTGCATAGACAAAAGAATTCAATACCCAGGTAAGGCAGTGGAGAACTTGGAGAGGGGAATTAACAGGAGATAACTGATAACTGACATCCATTAAAAGCATGGCATGTGGAACTAGAGCAGTCTACCCCAGTGAGCAAAATAAAGGGTTCAGTTTGACATTTCAACCACCTGAAGAAGACCAGAGCATACAATGGCTGAAACATAATAAATATGGCGTCAAGGCTGAAGACAATAGTCCGAATAATGTAAATACTGTA